AATTTTAAATGAAAGATGTCATATTTATTTATTTTTCTCTGTGACACTTTTCCTACTGTGTTAACAGAAAAATGTCAAACGAATTTAGTATTTTGACAAGACTAATAAAAATAGCTAATAGGCTATTTTTGTACAACCTACATTTTTATTTTTTTCTCTCTGCGACACCTTTTCCCTATTGTGTTGTCAATGTTAAACGAATTGTATCCTGACAAGACGAATAAAAATAAGAAATACAATTTTTGTACAACATTTTGTGTTGCATAAAATATTAAATGAATTTTGTGTCTTAAGATAATTCATATAAATTCAAGTCAAAGTCAATAAATTCAAGACTCTTGACAAGACGAATAAAATAACATACAATTTTGTGCAGACTACACTTTTATTTGTCAGCCTATCTTTCTTTCAGTAGCGGAAATTTAAATGTGAGATTCTGGAAACGAGATCTAAATTTAGCAGGAACGGTCGGGTCGGGAAGAAAATTATTCTAAGAGGAAAGCGGGTGAACAAAGAGTGAATATATAGCGGGAGCGGGTGGGTGCGGAATAGAACCTTGCGGGAGCGGGACTGGGACTAAAAAAACAGTCCCGTGCAGACCTCTACTCCCAGTTTATGTTAAGGAAAAAGCTTGAAAACAAGCAGTTTTGTCAGTTAAAGCAGAAATATTGGATTAAATATCCTATATGATGGCATACGAATATTGTGTTATTTATTTATTTTTTTTACTCAAAAAGGTTAAGAACCACAGATTATAACCTAAAATATATATCTAAAGTTTAATAATAAAATATATATGATTTACAAGAAATATATATCTAATCTTTTATTTTTAAATATATAATATAATATAATAAATATAGGCATTCATATACAGATTTAATATTCTAAAATACAAGTATTTTATATACATTTTTCATTTATAATGCATTATTATATAAAATACATATGATATTATTAACACTTGAAACTGAAATTTAGCAAGAGCTTACTATCTGCAATGATTCAACTGAAATACCCAGTTACCCACTTGCAACACTGGTGAATTCAGATCGTCCACTTCTGTCCACTCTGAAGTTACATTTCACAAAAAAATGCTGAATTATTTACACTCGCAATGTGTCTGCTGACATCATGTGCATTCTAAAAAGAGCATATTTTTAGTATAAGACACCTTCTTATTTTTGCAATTACACAAATCTAATTAACACTAAGAAAAATAGAAAAACGTCTTAAATCCTTACACTTAACACTGCACTTCACAGATTCACAGATATTCACAGATTTCCAGCCGCCCTATATGACAAAGTGATGGTAATGTTTGAGTCTGATGATCAAAGCATCATTACACTGAACATATAAAGGATCTCACAAACAAACAACCTATTAAGGGTTGCCAGGTACTCATTATTATGTTTCTGTCTAGTCTGACACCTGGCTACATTCATGTGGGCTTTATCACTATCATAACAGAGAGGTTACAAGCATTCTGACAAACGAACCCCCTGTAAAATTACCAGCTGACTGACACATCATGTTTTTATTGTGTCTGACAAAACAACCAACAACTAGTAGAGGAATTTTTCATAAAATGATAACAGCTGTTTGCACGTATGGGCCATGCCAGTGTCTGGCAATCATCAGTAACAGAAAATAATACGAAGCTTGCTTATTAACTGAAGCTTGCTTGCTTAACTTCGTGTTCACAGGGCACACAAATAGCACAAAAATCCAAATCAGGCAACGCACCACCCTGGTACCCACACACATATATAATTATATATATATCGACATGATGTTGCTGTCCTCACGGCCTCTGTGGCATTCCTAGGATACTTCAGTGTGTTGGTGTTTTCGGTGTCGTCTACATTGTGATGGATCTGAGGCAGCTGGCCTTGAGGCTAAACACGCACACATTTTGACAGAGCATTACCATTAGGACTCACAGGAATGTTTGAACTTTCTCTTAAGCCATTGTGTCTCCCAAGTGCCACTGATCAAGCAGCAAAGATCGAAACGGTTGACAGCCCTGATTTCTAAACCGGACAGATGCTATTATTCCTTACAAAAGAGTTTGTATAGCAAATGAACTATTTAAAGCTGTTCCAGATTCTCAAAATCACCCAAACCACTTCCACGAATGGCATGAAAAGTGAACCGTGGTCATGTGAGCTGGACTTATTCTAAACTAGCAGCGAGTGGGTGACTGGTTTTAAAAGTAGAGCAAGAATATCACAGCTAACTCATGAGTGGAAAATCCCAGTTTACTCTTGCAATGCTAATGCACATGGCAAGCTCCTCCCAGCTTTCTAAGGGAGGAAATGCATTTTGGGATTGCATATGCTCTCGACTAGTATAGTGTGTTTATGTACAGTGCCGTGAAAAGGATTTTGCCCCTTGCTGTTTTTTTTTTTTTTTT